AGATTCTTGTCAGTTAGTTTCAACTATACTGTTGAGGTTACGAAGTTGTTTTTCACATCAGTTTTGTTTACTTGATGACATTGAAGAGAGAAGCTCATGTATATTGCTCTTTCCCGATGTTACTGGGGTTATCATTGCCAGCTAGACTGAACTGAGTTTTCATCTATTTGGTTTATCATGTGCGTTTCATCCCCATCATCAAGAATTCTACGGATATCTTTCCATACATGGCTCTTATAGTGGGTCTGTTTCTAATTCCTACAACGCTCATTACAGAAGAAAATGTGATCAATATCACACTTACCCTTGCCTGAGACAATATCAAGATCAATTGGTATCTCTTATTCAATTCATCACTAGCATATCTTGAGAATTTGATCAACTTTTTGGCCATACCAGCATCTCATTTGTATTCCTATTAAGTTTTGTTCTCAAGTGGTCTTGTGACGTCATTCAAAAGATTTGAACACTAGGCAAAGAGCTTTAATGATAGAGAACATCTGAGCAGAAACCACAGGAAAGGATGAATGTTCTGTCAAATGTTTTACGAACATCTGAGCAGAAACCACAGGAAAGGATGAATGTGTTGTCAAATGTTTTACGAACATCTGAGCAGAAACCACAGGAAAGGATGAATGTGTTGTCAAATGTTTTACGAACATCTGAGCAGAAGCCACAGGAAATGATGAATGCGCCATCAAATGTTTTACGAACCTGCTATTTTGATGTTGAATCAATGTTACGATCATATGGTTTCCATTTATTGATCAAGTCTATCTTCTTCAACCCCAAGATTAGAAGTGAGATATAATGAAGATTTCTTTCCACAGAAGGGAAGCAGAAATTTTAACAACAAGAAACTAGTGGCACCAACTAAGGTTGAACGACAGGTTGTTGTTAAACATCTCAACATGATATGGTCCAAGTTGCCTTATTCAAGATCTGATTTAAATGTGGGGACATGAAAGGAATTGAGATAAATTCTCCTTGTGATGTGTTTCAAAAGTTAAATTAGAACAGACTCTACTCTCCTAATTAATCCCTGTTGAGTCAAACATATCTACATCTACATTCTTCAAAGATGATAGATTCTCTCTTCAAAGATGATATATTCCCTTTTTAAAAGATGATAGATTCTCTTTTCAAAGATGAAAGCTTTATTGGATTTCTACACAAGTCCAAACAAAGAAAGTTGGTTTTATCAAAGATAGAATGGTGCATCAAGATCATAGTTTGAACTACGGCAAGAGTCCATAAATGAAACATGTCCTCTGAGACTTTCATGAAGCAAAGAAGATGCAAAGATACAAGTTGATCAGATGATTCTACAGAAATGCAAGCTTGATAGCATAAGTTGCTACACTGATATCTAGAGGTGACCTTGGCAATAAATGATGAAGTGGAGGAAAACCGAGTTCACCATTTTGAAGTCAAATGAAGATTGCATCAACATTCATGCATCATATTTAGACATTTGCAAAAATAGGTGCATTTTCATTCATTTTATCCATGTTGAATTTTGAAGGAATTTCAAAGATTTTAGCCAAGATTCAAATCCATCACTTGATGGATCAGCTTTTCCAGAAAAAGTTCATAATGAGAAGAACTCATCTAAAGAAGGAAGAAGAAATTCATAATGAGAAGAATTTGTTCAACCTTTTGCTCAAATCCATCATTTGATGGATCAGCTTTTCCAGAAAAAGTTCATAATGAGAAGAACTCATCTGAAGAAGGAAGAAGAAATTCATAATAAGAAGAATTTGTTCAACCTTTTGCTCAAAAATCAGCTTTTCCAGAAAAAAGTTCATAATGAGAAGAACTCATCTAAAGAAGGAAAAAGAAATTCATAATGAGAAGAATTTGTTCAACCTTTTGCTCAAATCCATCATTTGATGAATCAGCTTTTCCAGAAAAAAGTTCATAATGAGAAGAACTCATCTGAAGAAGGAAAAAGAAATTCATAATAAGAAGAATTTGTTAACCTTTTGCTCAAATCCATCATTTGATAGATCAGCTTTTCCAGAAAAAGTTCATAATGAGAAGAACTCATCTGAAGAAGAAAGAAGAAGTTCATAATAAGAAGAACTTGTTCAACTTTTCACTTGAATTCATCATTCGATTGATCAACAGTGCCAGTTAGAGTTCATAATGAGAATAACTCATCTGAAGAAGAAAGAAGAAGTTCATAATGAGAAGAACTTGTTCAACTTTTTGCTTAAATTCATCACTCGGTGGATCAGTAGTGCCAGTTAGAGTTCATAATGAGAAGAACTCATCTGAAGAAGAAAGAAGAAGTTCATAATGAGAAGAACTTGTTCAACTTTTTGCTTAAATTCATCACTTGATGGATCAACTTTTCCAGAGAAAGTTCATTATGAGAAGAACTCATCTGAAGAAGGAAGAAGAAGTTCATAATGAGAAGAATTTGTTCAACCTTTTGCTTAAATTCATCACTTGATGGATCAACTTTTCCAGAGAAAGTTCATAATGAGAAGAACTCATCTGAAGAAGGAAGAAGAAGTTCATAATGAGAAGAGCTTATTCAACCTTTGCTAGATTACATCACAAAAGGAGATGAGTTGTCATCCCCAGTGAAAAAGTTCATAATGAGAAGAGCTAATCCCAGAGAAAAATTATTTCAACATTCCCATCATAATCAAGTGAAGTCAAATGAAAAAAAAACTTATTATCTTTTCGTCTTTGCTCTATTCTTGTTAACACAAGAATAAACAAAGAGGGGCAGCTGAAGATACTCTTTTTTTCATTTGAATATTATTTATATTCTTTATATTATTATAATTATAATAATTATTATTATTTTATTATTAATAAATATTTTTACAGGCCCATTTACAAATCCTGAAGCCCAAAGAAATGCAAACCCAACCCGGTTGAGAAACACTAACCCTTCTAGGGTTTCCCCAAGCTGCCAGCCGCCGTTGGGAAGATGAGCAGCCACTTTATCCTTTGCTGCCAGGTGGTCCAACCGACGCTTCCGATGTTTCCACTGCCAGGTGTTTCAACTACAACGTCGTCGTCCTCAACAGCTGCCACGACGCCCGTCGAAGCCCCCAGAAGAGTCATTCCAGCCGTCCACGCGTCCCATTCTTCCGTGAGTCACCACAAGTTCGGTGACTCACCAAAGTTTACTCCTTTAACCAGTCTGAAGCCATCACCGGTGGTGGCTATAAAAGCCATCGAGCCCCTGCCAACAAAAAAGAGAGGGAAGGAAGAACAGAGAACAAAAAACCACAACACAGCAACCAAAAACAAAAGAAAAGAAAGGAGAGAAGCTTACCGAGGAAGCCACGACCGTCGGACCTCTTCAAACGTCACCAAAACCTTCGAAAATCGAAGGTACTTTCTTAGATTTGCTCCAATCGGGAGCTTTTTAAAAGAAATGAACACCGGAACCGTCATTAGGACGGTCCGATCTACATGGTGGTGTAAAAATAAATTTTTCCGGCCACCAGATGCGGTGGCCGGCGGTGAGAATCACGGCGGCAGACGGCTGCCGCCCGACTTCCCTCCGATGAGGGAAGCTAGAGAGAAGGGAGAGCTTTTTCATTCTCTCTCAGTTAGAGAGAGAATGATAAAGGGAGAAATGAGAGAGCTGGCCCGAATGGCCAGCCGTTTCTGGCTTTAAATAGCCCTTCCCGAACGACGTCGTTTTGGGAAGGGCTATTTGTGTAATTTTTAATTGTTAAACCACGTCCGTAGTCCTTCTATCTTATATGCTTTACATTTTAGTCACTGAATCAAATTTTTGATCCTTTTAATTTGGTTTCTACATTTTATTTATTTATATTTTAGCCCTTAACCGTAATATTAAATATTTTAGAAAAAATACGTATTTAGTCCTTTAATTTTAATAAATAATATTTTGATCCTGAGTATATATTTTTAATTTATTTTAATCTGATATTCGAATTTTATATAATTTTATTTTAGTCACCAAATTAATAAATAAGGAAAATGACATATTTAATCCCTATAATTTTAAATAATTAATTATGAATTAGGTATTTAATTTTAATTTTATTATAATTTAGTCACTAATTTTAAATATTTTCATTTATTTTACTGGATTTAAATATATAGTTCTGATTGTATTTTTATTGTTTTAATTTTACTTGTTTATATATTATTTTCATTATTATTATATAGTCATATAAATATATAATAAATAATAATTTATATTTTTTAAATAAATTATTTTAATATTTATTTATTTATTTTTCAATATTAAAGAAAAGGGCAGTCTTAATACAACTGGATGTCCTATTCTGGTATTTTAAAATTAAATATTATAAAAAATTATAATTTAATTTTATTTAAATTATTATATTAATATTTATTAATATCGAAGAAAAGAGCTGTCTTAAGGCACCTAGAAGTCCTTTTCTGATATTTCTAACTAAATAAATAGTTTATATAAATTATTATTTTTTTCTCATAATTATAATTTTGAAATAATAGGATTATAAATTAAATATATTTTGAATTTTTAATAATAAAGACAATTTATAATTAAAAAGTACTAATTTTGGGCGTTGTAGGGGTGCTAATCCTTCCCTAAACGTAACCGACCACGAATCCTTTTTTATTATTAAAAAAGAATGAATTTTTGGTTAAAACGCAGATCAGTTTATCTTTTAATTGATGTTTTCTTAAAAATTCTTTTAAAAGATTTTTTTTAGGTATTCGACCTACCTAACCCAAAAGGCCGATGGCGACTCCCAAATTATTTTCAAAACCATTTATTCACATCACTTTTCCCGCCAAATAAATATTTCGTGCCCGGACGAAAACCGGTTACGACAATAGTAATTTGAACAACAATTCAACCCGACCCATAAATATACCTAATATTTTAAATTATGATCCACCAAGAATTTGGTAATTGGGCCGACCAAAAAACCTAACAGGAAAACTGGACCATTTACATCATATCCAACCCAAAAAAGCTAAGCAACCTATAAACACAACATATAAAAGCGTAATTCATGGTCCTCATTCAAGAACCATAGCCCTTTAACTTCTCGTTTTCAACTCAGCAAAACCCTAGCCAGACAGTCATCACCCGCCGCTCCAAACCATGGGCCGCGTCCGCACCAAGACGGTAAAGAAATCGTCTCGCCAAGTGATCGAGAGGTATTACTCTCGCATGACCCTCGATTTCCACACCAACAAGAAGATCATCGAAGAAGTTGCCATCATCCCATCGAAGCGGCTCCGCAACAAGATTGCCGGGTTCTCGACCCACCTGATGAAGCGTATCCAGAAGGGTCCGGTTCGCGGGATCTCTTTGAAGCTTCAGGAAGAAGAGCGCGAGCGTCGCATGGATTTTGTCCCCGATGAATCGGCCATCAAGGTTGATCAAATCGAAGTTGATAAGGAGACACTCGACATGCTTTCGGTTCTTGGGATGGGTGATATCCCTGGGCTTGTTAAAGTCGACCCGGTTTCTGTTGCGGTTCCTCAAATCGGATTCGGTCGCGGTGGTGGACCCGGAAGGAGGTTTTAAATGGTGGGTATCCATGGAATTGATGGGTTCTTAAATGATAAATCTTAAGTTTGTTATGATTATTTTTTGTAGTTCTTTTAATATAATTCTATGGTTCTTTTTTGAACCATTATGGTTCTTTCGATCTTAATTGCTACTGAAACTTGGTACGATTTATGTGAACTTGTTTATGAAGGTATTTGAAATGGGTAATTTTTAGTCAACTTTCATGGTTAAATCCCCATTTATTTTCATTTAATTTTATTTCTGACTGATTGAAAATGGTGTGATGATTCTTGTTCTGCAATCAATTGCAACTTGAAAATTGAAAAGGTTGGTCTTTTATAGTGAATTATGGTTCAATTTCAGTCTTTGTTTTGCGACAATGGCTTCCATTAATGCGATGCGTTGAGCTTAGCCAACTAACATATAGCAACTTTGTACCCGGAGTTTCAACTTTGAATATATGGAGTTTGGTTCCGGTGGCAATTGCAAGCAAGAAACTAAGATGATCTTTGCTTTATAGATATTGCTGGATTCTCTGAGCTGTATTCTATTGGCAATTTACATCCAGAATTGGGTACTTTTATATTTGTTTATATTCGGAGCATTGTCATTCCGATTGGGTAGAGTCTTATATCTGTATTGAAATGAAGATCCTCCCAACCCTAATCCTATATATCTGATTGTTGTTCATCCTGTTTTGTTTTAGCTTTGCTTTTGCATCCATTACATTTATTTGCACTGTTATATATGTAAAAATGTGAAAAGTGATATTCAAAGACAAACTGTTGTTTAAGGACGTTGAAGGTTCAATCTTAAAATGGTAATGGAATAAAATGTTAAACATCTATCCGATAAAAAAGAAAGAAAATTAGACGATAAAAAAGAAAGAAAATTAGACGCTAAAACGAAAAGGAATATAGATTGAACACTTATTCTTCAGTTAAAAGTTTAACAAACCAGACAGGAACCATGTTTTGTCTAACAACAGATTAGTTTAGCCAACTAAACAACTATCATGTTTTGAATGATAGACAAGTGATTTTTTTTTTATAGAAGTAGGAGGTCTCATTAAAAAACCCCTTCATATTTATCACTTTCCAAGAGGAGAGGGGATACCTAGCAGGAGGAAAAGAGTATATCTCAATTTATTGATTCTAAAGATTTTCATGTTCACAAGCTTTAGTCCTTGTTCCCTCCATGGTTTTCCATTTGGGGTGGACTTTCTTGTTGTAAAATGAAAATATATTGTACCTACAATCTAACTCTCCTCAATCACAGTGTGAAGTAGAAATGTTGGATCCTTTCAAGGTTAAAAGATGTAAAGCTTGCCCTTCAGAAATCCAAGACTCTTAAGAGAACTCTGCAGTGTGGGGGGAGCTTGGACAGCTCGGCTTTGTTTTCTACTAATATCATAGTAAAGGATATATCGAACGAATGCAAATTGGAGAGGCATTGCAAAGCTTCCTTGGAGGGCAGATGCACCAGATATTTACAATGCTGAAGCTTTAGAATCCGAGGAGAGGAGAGGTTTCCCAACCACTCTGGCAAAGCTTTCAGTCCATCGAAGTCCCGAATTTCTAACTTCTCAGGTTCAGTGAGGTGTTGAATTTGATGTGGCAAAGAGCATAGTGATGTGTTATCCCATCCCTTCAAACTCAATTTTTTAAGGGAAGAATGGAGGTGGTGGATGGAACCAAGACCTGGGAATTCCTCCAACTCTTGTGAGAAGGAGCACATTCGCAATGTTTTCAAAAGTGTGAGGCACCCAAGGCTCTCTTCTGGGAGCCTTTTTTAAATTTCCACAACTACCAATGCATAATTCTTCAAGAGAATGCAGTTGCACTATATCTTTAGGAATTGACCCCAGATTATCGCAATCGTCTATGAATAAGTTAAGAAGAGTACAAGTTGACAAACCAGATGGTAGACTTGTTAATCCTCTGCATGCTTTCAGCTTTAATTCTAAAAGAGAGGACAAACCATTTAAACTGAGAATGGACCTTAAGTTCTTGTAATCCCTTATTGTTAAACTTTTGAGACGAGGGGAAAATGATTCATCACCCATCCAACCTAACTCAGAACACCAGTCAATAGTGAGTTCCTCAAGAGAAGAAAATCTACTCATTATTGGAACACTGTTTAGATTGTGACACACTATAATATTCAACACTTTTAGTGATGGAAATGCAGGGATTATCGGCTCCACTTCTAACCATTCTTTATTCTCTGGCATATTCTTTAGAGTGAAATTTTCCAGTGCTGGAAATAAGATGATTGGCTTACTTTTATCACAACTATTCATATAAAATTCCTTTCCTATGCCTTACACTCTTTAAACCTGCCACTTCAAGAAATTTCAGGTTGGGATATTGCCCAAGAGTTGGAAGATTCTTTACATCCCAACATTGTAATAGCTTCAACTCCATCAGATTCATGGGTTGAAAACAAGCACTTGTTAATCCTTTGCATTCATCACCTAACCAACCTAACTGAGAACACCTGGGTACCTCGAGGTTCGAGGTTCTGGGGAGAAGAAAATCTGCTCATTCTTGGAACACTGTTTAGATTGTGACACACTATAATATTCAACACTTTTAGTGATGGAAATGCAGGAATTGTCGGCTCCACTTCTAACTATTCTTTTACCTCTGGCATATTCTCTAGAGTGAAAAATTCCAATGCTGGAAATAAGATGAGTGGCATATTCTCATCACAACCATCCATATAGAATTCATTTCCTATGCTCCTCACACTGTGTAAGCCTTTCATTTCAAGCAACTTGAGATTAGGATATTGCCCAAGTGGTGGTAGATTCTTCACATTCATACATCCTAATAGTTTCAATTCTACCAAATTCATGAGTTGAAAAGAAGCACTTGGGGCACCACTAGTCTTCCCTAGCAACCATGATGGAAAATACTTACCCATATAATACCGAATAGTTAAGCTTTTCATATTTGAGTGAGGCTCCAACCCTTCCAGCTCTTTCTCATCTCTATTGTATCCCTGTTTTAAGAATTCCAACACCCAATGGTATCCAGTTTGTGTAATTTCTTCTTCTCCCATAATCTTGCTCCCCTAGCTTCTTCTTTGTCTCTAACATTCCGAAGATCATCGAAGACCAACTCTCCTCCAAGTTCAACTAAAAATCCCAATTCCCCAGTCCCTCTTCCCCTTTCTCTAGCCACTTTAAATAATGGCAAAGTCTGAAGACTAGTTAAGCATCCTATCTCAACAGGAACATGATGTCCAACACTGATGTATAAATGCCTCGGGTTGACTAAACTTTTCATTCCTCCTGAGAGTTCTTCGAGCCGGAAACACTTCAACAATCTTATTGTCTCCAAAAGGTGGAGCTGAGCAATGGACTTCCCCTCTATGTCGATTCTCGAGATATCAAAGTATCTCAAATGCTTTAGCTTGCCAATCGAATCTGGCAACATCGCTCAGCTGCTTTCAACCAGACTTTGACTGGCTCATCAAGTTGCCTCCTCTCTGCATCTTGCAAGAAAGCTCGAGTGAGAGAAAGTGAGTGTGAAGAAGGTGGCATGGTGCCGAGGGATGAACGTCCGGTGGCCGACGTAAGATGGAGATGAGGAGCAGCGACTAGTTTTAATGAACACGGGATTAAAATGCAAGAAGATAAAATAATAGAAACTGATTTTTACTAATCAAGAATGAATCAAAAGGTGATTTACTCTTTACAAGTGTAAGGCTTATACAGTAATATTTAACAATATTCTAACTACTCAGCTAGCCGTCATTAACAAATTCTTAACAATCTAATAACTACTTGCTTCATCTAACAGGGAGGAACGAAGCTTGTTCAGCTGCTCCTTGAAATCCCATGCAAGGTTGATTGGTTCTTCAAGGATGGAAATAAACTTGGACAGAGCCACTTCCACGGCTGCACTGATGACAGCTTCGGCTATTTTTGAATCAGAAATCAGCTGGAAAGGTCTGAAAGAAAACAATAGAGGATAACAGTAGACGAGAACTAAGCAAAGTGATTTCTAAAACCAAAGATGCTATGAATAAAATTCCAAAATTATTATAAAAAAAAATCTAGTTTTATCCGTCTATAGGTGATTTTTATGATTTTCATTTTTTTTGGAGGGTTCGATTGGTCTGAAGGAAAACAAACACAGGATAACAGTGAATGGGAAATTACGAGTTCGATAATGTTTAGATGTAAAATATATATAATTTGAAGGAATCTTCTTCATTGAACAAGTTAAAATTTTCTTCACCAGCAACATATGATCAAGCAGCCTGCTAACATCTTAAACGAGAAATTCAAAGCACTACGGTATTTTCTTTCATATTTTGATAACTACAGTATGCATAAAGTCGGTTTCCATTTTTCTGTATTCTAACAATATAACACGGCTAATTTTTTTTTTATGTTTTATCCTCAACCAGGTAGACTAAACCATGTAAACAAAGTTATTATTACATAACAAAAGAATTGAACGAGCAGAGGAAGCTACCGTGGCATCATTCTGTAATCATCGTCACAATCTCGCATTTTCCTCATCGATTTTGCTAACCCAAGTTATAAAAGTGAATATTAAAAGTTATAAAATGTTTATATGATTGTTTATATGTTTCAAACTGTCTTTTTCTATCAAAAGATGACGGTCATCTAAACTAGACATTAACTTGTTAATTATGATGTGATAAAATTATATTTTAACGATGTCTATTTGTATTGTCGTTGCTTTCAAACACTGACTCGACGACATAATGTTTCAAACACTAACTCAATGACATAATGTAAATAAAAACTCGATCCAAAAATACATCTCCAACGATTGTAAGATCAAATTTTATCATATCATAATTAGTAAGTTAACGTATAACTCAAATGACCCTAATTTTTTAACGAAAAAAAAAATGAGTTTGAAATATATGAGTAATCAGATGATCATTTTATAACTTTCAAAAGTCACAAGACTCAACGAAACAATGTTTTACAATTAAAGATTATTTTATAACTTTTAATAGTTGATAAGCTTAATAAAACATTTTATACTTTACCCTATTAATTTATTAAACAAAAATATGATATATAAATATACGATATTCCCTAACCCTCTTATTTATCTTCTTTTGGATCATCTCTGATGGGCCTTTTAACAGTGAAAATTCTGGCATCAGCAACTGATAAAGCGTCCAACGACAATGTTAAACAGCCCAATTGTTTCTGCAAATTTATAACTGAAAACAGAG